AGAAATCCAAAGTTGAGTTTTTTGTCTTCAATTCCCCATCAGAAATTACCTACCTCTTCCACTTGTCCATATGATAACAAGCATTCATCCCTATTTGCCAATTCACCACCCATGGGAAATAAGGTGGCAATCTTGGTTCATTTCCCTTTGTTTCATTGATTGAAACCAAGCTTTTACCACCATCAACTCAAGCCCTCTTCATTCCACTTACTCCACGTGGATCAAAAAGAGGGAAGTGTAATTGTGCCCTCAAACCACCACAACCTCCCACTTCCCACACTACTTATATGAGATTTAAAAGGAATATGGGAGGTAAGTTGTTTCCTGGTCTTTCTTCTACATATTAGTTAAGTTATTAGCATGTGTGTTTGGTGCATTTTATCTACACTCGCCAATAATTGCACTTAATTTGATCGGTTGGCGGTGATTTGATTTTTTACACCTGACCATCCATTGCACATTGGGTGGTTGGAAGGTAGATATATTTTTATATTTTTCACACGCCATCCACGCCAGAAGCAGGAGGCACCTATAAATAGGATTTCTCGACAGTTTATTTTCGGGTTGAACTTCTAAATCTCTTGCTAGAGCCGGCTAAATATGTTGCTCCTGGTTACTCTCCTCACAAATACTGACTTGAGCTTCGGAGAAGGTCCCCGCTGACCACTGCCGATGGGTTCCTCTTTTGCAGGTGTCCGTCTCGGAGGTTGGTGACAGACGTTGGTCAGGAATTTTGGCCCTCACTGGACCTCAAACACATTGAAGCAGACTTCTCGGAGCTTGGCATCAACAAGTATGAATGTAATTTCCCTTTATCTAGAACTCCGAATCAGTTCTAGGTCTGTTTCTTTCATAGTATTCTTCAATTTTCCTTCATCACCTCCTGGGGTTAGGGTTTCAATTGGGCTGCTTTGTTGCTTTCTTCTTCTGCAGGTGATACATTTTGCTTTCTTCTTCTTCAACTTTTTCGCAGTTTTAGTTCTTCCACTGCTGATTCTATAGTGAAAACAAATTTTGTTTCCTTTATGTCCTTTTGGAACATACAGAACTATTCCAAAGCAGTAAGGCAAGGTTTCAAATTCCACTGCAAAGAGACTTGCATGAATAGTTTTTTACAAGCAATTCACTAAAAAAAGCTTTCTTCATTTGTTCCTCTTCCCTTTAAATTCCCTAGGTAGTGTTATTGAAATTTGTTCAAATAAAAGTCCATGCTTGAATGAATTAAAAACATATCAAATTATATGAGTTGAAGTCATTATATCTTTAAAAAATTGTTATAGCCGTATCTATTTGTGTCTTAGTTTAATGGTAAGAGAGCACGTTGACGATGGATCATAGTGGTATGTGTGAGAATATGTTGAGTTGATTTACATTAGCTCCTGCTATATTGTCGGTGCAGGGGAACTGAAATTGTCATCACCCAGTTCCACCATCCCTTATGACAACCTGGATTTGAATGAACTGAACTGTATATGGGAAAGGTTCTACTTCTATAAATATGAATTTTGGTTAGCTAATATCCAGAACAATTTCATATATTAATTTTTGTTTTATCTATAGAAGGATTGTTGTCGATGCTTCAATTGAATTTCTGGAAGTTGATAAATACTACAGTTCTATATTTCTCGCACGTGAAAGTTGTTGCAAGTTTAAATATTTTGTTCTTTCATGTCTCAGGATGGTGAGTCTGGGATTGTTGACTTGTGGGAAGGTGGCGCCAGAACTCGGCATGGATCAAAGTCCTCATTTATATCTATCTACTCGGTCAATCTTGAGGGGAAGGTGACATCAAAACTCAGAAGGTGCGTTCTCCTCCAATGTGATTCAGGTTCTCCTAAGGTAATAGTCTGGTCATTATTCATTTGTGGAACTGCAATTTGTATGACAAAAAACATAGAATTGGGCCATATTGTCTTTGATATTCATTGAACTTGAATAATAATTTGGAACTGGTGTCACCCATAAGAACATTACTAACTAAACATGAAGCTACTGAATCAGTTAATCTACAAATGATAATGACCATGTAGATCTACTCATGTAATGGTCTTAGACTGGGATTCAACGACTCCCCAGTTCATCTAACACTTTGCCAGTATATGATTTTTTCAATTTCCATGCATGTTGTGGATCACCAATTTCTTAAGAGCTTTGATCTGGTCATTATCCATTTGTGGAACTACAGTTTGTATATCTATCTACTCATATTCTTTTGTTATATCCGTGAAGATCTACTCATGTAGTGAACTGTGACATGAAATTTTGAAGGGTTGAGTGAAAAGTGTTTACAAATGGACTTTAGTATATGAGATTTCGCCAACCATGATAATTAGCCAATACTCTTTGTATTGTTTACATTTTCGATTTAGATTTTCTATCGTAATATATTTATGATAAACCAAGTAGAAGCTGGATGAGCTAGAAATATAGTCAAGGATGCTTTTTGGTTTTTCAGTTACCAGCCATGACTATACATATCAGACTGCTTCAATTTTTTTCTTTCTGTTCTGTGCTAATTCATTGTTGGTGGCATAAATGATTTATGTTTTACTCATTACATGCATTGGCCACAACATAATAAGGTTTACCTGATGCAACTTTTACTCATTAGTTTAGGCTACTACTATGTTGTCTTTGAGATTTTTGCTGGAATATTTATTCCCTATAAATAAATAATGTTACATGTTTCAGGGATGCTGTCATAGTTTTTGTAACCATTTCATTTGAACTTTGCATATCTCATCAAATTTTATGATTGGTTTTCTTGCTAGCGTCATCTAATTTAGTTTTCGTTCTTTCTCCAATGTTACTATCTCAAGTTCATTTTCTGTGGTGCTCTACTGGATTTTATGGAATGATTAGAACAAATGATATTCGGAAAGCAGATACGAGAAGCGAATCCACGATGAGTCCAGGAAAGTTGGAGTTGAGTCAAGGTCGGTTTGCAAAGACCACTGATCGGAATCGAGAGTTTGTTGAACCAATTAATGGTTATGGTTGGTAACTATTCTCGTCCTTTGATCGTTAAATTAAGAGCTCACTTTAGGGGTGTTTCTATAATGGACTAAAGGTAATTGAAGGGAAACAGTCTGCAAGCATGTGTTTATAAGTGAGGATGAAATTGACATAACATCTCTTTCAAGTTGTAAGGCAGAAATTTATAGAAAATCCCTTCCAGTTGGGAATGGGGGGATACATATTGGGAATAGGGTTGGGGGAAGTCATAATAGGTTTGACCTTCAGGATGTTTGAGATTTTAACATATCTCGTATCTTCTACCTTCAATTTAAAGTATGGAGGAGAAAAAATGTAACAGCTACTGCAACTATATAGTAAAGTGGAGCCCAACTTTGATTAAAGCTCAAGTTGAGTAATATTGCCATGCAAATCGCCATACCTTCTATTGTAATATTTTGGCCATTTTCCTTTCCTACCATCTTTTGAAAGTACAAAATTTTACTCTGTAGTCACTTGGCCAATTAGTCCAAGGTCTGCAGAAGAAAATCCAGATGGCCAAATGTGTGGATTCTTTACTTATAATATTTCCAATTGGGTGCAATGGTATGGCCTTTTCTGTGGTAGTTAATGGACCATTTGTCATGTTGTGAACCAGGTTGTCATGTCTTTCCCCTGACTAACATGTTGCCTCTAGCATGGATAGCGTTCCAATGGGTACTGATGGTAGCATGGCCAGTGTTGGAGATGAATTTGTTTCCTCTTCTTTAATCTATGATTTAGAGTATATACAAAGAGTTTCAAGTAAATATGTTCATACGTAAAATTAGAATGATTGATTTGATCATAAGGAGATTAGTTTACGCAGAAACAAGAAACTAAATTACGTTTTTACAGAATCATATGCCTATAAACCATCCTCGTTTCTTCTTCCTCGGTCGGTCGCCCATAACCATCCTCTTCTACTCCCACTTCGCATCACATTCCTTGGAAAAATCTGAAACGGTTTTCTTTCCATGTATGGTGTCCTTACTTGCTACTGCCTCTCAAGAAGTTCCTCTCCTCATCTCTACTTCCTAACAACTTGTGCGTGGTTAGCCCGATACGGGAGCTACTTCAGCTAGGTTCTGAACCTGATGGACCAGGTCACGGAAAATCCCCTCTTCTCCACGAAGAGAAACTCCATAGGAGGGTCTGGCGAGGGTGGGACTCTAGCGAGATTGAGGAGGATCTATCGATTTTGACACAAATCCAACATACCCAGGTCCATAAAGCTTGCAAGCACAAATGTTATCAATTGCTCCATCACCTGCCATATATCCTGAAACCTGAATGCTCCAGCTTGGATCCCCCAACAGTAGCAGGGCCATTGACAAGCTACACCAGCATGGTTGGGAGATAATATTTCAATAAAATCCTATTCGATCGTAAGTTTCGTTCATCTTCTCTCCACTTCCTATTGCAGGCTTTTTAAGGTGAATCAGTTTCTGGTCTATGTCCAAGGATAATCGCTTCCTTCTATGTTGCTCTTAGTTTTTCTAATATATGAAGTTGTCAACGACCATCCTCTTATTTTACATAGAGACGATCTTCTCTGCTTCTTCAAGAAAGACCTCCTATGCATGCATGCATTAGCCATTCAATTATATATCATGCAAACACATATTTCCATTACTATGTTCATGTTAATCAGACCAAATTTCATATTCAAAAGGATTTGAAACTTTATCAACTCCCTCTCTAAGAAAGAAAAAGCACACAGAGGAGAAATTCTAGAAGTACATGTAGTTGCATGATTACCGTCTCCAAAACCAACCAAACAGCTTACCCATCGGACATACATCTTTTCAGTCGCGGTATTTGGAAAACGTTTTTCATTCGGGCCACATTATTGAGATCACACCAACATTCTTCTCCCTCGGTATCAGCCTGTGACAATGAATCACACATATGCAGGAATATGGTTAGGAAGTTTCAGCAAAATCGATGTTCCTGGAAAGCGAGAACAAAAACCAATCTAAAGAAATAAACAACGCAAATCCTTCACTCATAGTACAGAAACAATTAAAACATATACCCAAAGTGGGAAGGACCTACTGAGCAATGGTAATAAAGTCCATTATGCCGATGTTGGGTTGAACTCGTAGGTGGCAAACTTGGAAACTGTCATTCAAACACAGATGCAAAATTAAGTTTGACATATCTCTAATATATTTTATTAAACTTACATCTGTGGACTCGATAACCTGAGAGGGAATTTCCATAATAGGGGACTCCACCAACGAAATAAAGTTTCGAGCTAAATACTATATAACCTGCTGTCATGGAACTACTGCTTTGGAGTTCCATGGAGAACGAACTGAGTTCCACCTCGAACCCCTCTTACTTCTCCTTTGCAGTTATATACCAGAGAGGAGGTGGAAATGGGAGCTGGGAACCCTGAAGGGTCATAAGATTCTAGCTTTCTCCATTGATTCCCGGTAGGAACATAATGCAGTCTCTGTAGATGGAGAGATCGGCTTCCACAGCTTAGCTGCAAAGAACAAATAATGAAATAAATCAGGGTTCTTTTTGACAACCATCATTAGTAGGAAAATATAAAAAAACACTAAGAGTGGTAATTAAAAGTAGTAACATGTTGGAAAGAGCACCAGAAGCATGCTGTATTTTTCAAATAAGACAATATTGTATCCATCCAGTTCAATGAGTTGAGCAAGGGGAAGAGTTTCGGCAAACTCAGACCATAACGTGATTGACATAGAGGCTTGATGCAAGAAGAACACATCGCATCATTCAGCAAAATAACACAGAAGAAGGAAAGAAGCAGAGATCGGTTGTGAAGGAAGTGTTGAAATTAAATACAGGATCTGGTCATTGGAGCAAGGCGCCCAGCGCCTTCTGGATTCACGCTGAACAAACTGTGTGACTAGTTGTTTGGGCGCAACCCCTTGCACCAGAACACCCTAGGAAAATTACCCAAAAGTAAGAATGAGAAAGGAGAGGCATACCCAACCGAAGGGAGGTAAGAAAGGATGAAAGAACTGACAACATCATCGGTCCAAAGCATCGAGAACTCAAAGAATCCATCGGGTCGCGCGGGAGTCTCAGATGTTTATGGAGGAGCCACAATTTGATGGTCGAAGCTTTGTCCGTCCACGTCGAAAGGACGACGTGCAGCAGGTTGGCAAGTGAGGTGGTGTGAAGGAGCTGGCAAACTGAACCAGCGGTGCCGAAAGGTGGGAACGGTGGTTAACGATTATAGGAGAAGGTTGAGGCAATTTGGAGAGGAGCAAACCAGAGGTGGAGAAAACCAAAAGGTAAGAGGAGATAGAGACGATTTGGAGAGGAGAAAGCTGGAGGTCGCTGGACCACTAATCGAGAGGGGCAAGGACACAGACCTACAATTGGTAGGGGGTAGCGTGTCCAGGAAAAACGGGAATGGCGTACAGACCAGAAAACCATGGTCCCCGTGAAAGAGGTGAGGTGAGTTCGGCGTGGTATCAAGAAAGGACAGCAGGGCGACCCACAATCGCGGACTTTGCAGCAAGGCGATATAGGTTCGCGTACAAAAGGAGAGAGTTTGATTGGACCGGGGCTGGGCAGCAGCTACACGGAGGTGATGGAGACCGAATTGGCGGAGGCGAGACCATGGCGGTGGGACAGACGGCACGGCCATAGTTGGGAGATGGAAGAGAGACCAAAGGGCTTTTCAGTAGCCGACAAATAATGAAACAGTAGTTTGAAGTTTGGGCCAATAAAGTGTAGCCCGCTTTTACATATAAGATAATATAATTGTTGTATCTTGGTAGGAGTGTCTCGACCTGATTGCAGATTTGAGGAGGTTTTATCCAAGCATCAGTTAAGTGATCATGCACATTCGAGCTCTCTACTCTCTAGATTTTCCGTTCTCCCTTATTTCTATCTTCCAGTCTCCCGATCATTGTCTCTGAATCATGTATGGTTAGTGATAGTAGAGTTTATTAATTGTCCCTATTCCACTGAGGAAGGTATTTATTTGCTTGGAGGGTGAGTTTTTGGGTCTCCTTCTAATTTTTTAGTATCTTGCTATTTTACCTCCGTTTACAGGTGGCCTTCCATGACCAAGAACACAAGCTGCTTCCTGGGTTTCCGCTGGATGTACCTTAAAGAGCTAATTCTACCAGGTAATTTTGCATTCTATTGGTTTCCATCCCATATTCTTTCCCTCTCGTGGATAACCTTAGTATTATTTCTGGGTATAACTTTTCACAGCTTCTCTCAGACTTGAATTGCAATGATTTAAAATTTCTAGGGTATTTGGTTAAGTGTTTTACTGTGATATGGGATGTGATAGGTCAAAAGCGTATAGCTTCAATTCCTATCTTGTAGTAATCCGGAAAGTTCGGGTATCGTCTCTCAGGGACTGGTACAACCTTAAGTTCTATCAATTTTGTAGAGCAAACTATAGGTGAAAATGGTTCAATGAGATTATTAACTACTAGCAAAATAAATAAACTAATTAAGCAAAGTAAAATGGTCGGGAGAAATTCAATGGAGAAAGCTCTGGGAGAAACACCGGGATTCACTACCTATCCTATTCAGATTATTCACATATTCCAATCAATTTAATCCATATCTCTACAGCCAGGATATCACTACTGTGATAGCTATCCCTGTCAGTAACAGGAGAAAAAAGCAGTCAATGGGCCTCGGCCCAATTCTCCTTTTTTTGCCGCCCAAATCTCATTCTGCCCAGCTCTTCCAATTCCTTGTCCACCAAATAGAATTTCATGGGCATGGCCCAGAATAAATGGCCGCCTATTTGCCTGTCCCAGCACAGCAGGTCCAAAAGCCTCGCTCCTTTTTCGTGCTTTCTCCACCTGTATCATATCAAACTCATGGCACTATGCAGTAATGGTTTTTCAACCATTCTCGGGTTAGCGAGCCCTAAAATAGCACCAATTGGCTAAAACATACCACGGATAATCACATAAAGTCCAAGAATTCGATATATTAAAGCCGAATATCACAACCCACACTCAATTTTTGCTTGTCCCTAAGCAACGACTCAAACAACACAAACACATAACCAACCATAACAACGACACATTACAGACTCAACACTCAAAACAAAACACAAAATTTCCTTGTACTCTTGTTGTAATCAGTAGTTTCTTTCTCAATGGACAAGCTGTGCTTTATTGATCATACCCTTTCACCCCACACTCAAGTTCTTTGCAACCCTTTACCATTGACTGACTCAAATCCATCCAAAAACTCAAATAGCAACACTCAAATTCGATCGTCGGTAGTGGGTGATTAACAACTTATGATGCAACAGTTATTAGGAGAATCTAACCACATAGTGAGGTGCATATCTCGTGAGGACAATCTGGCTTATTCACACCAATAATAAGCAATTAATTAAGCATGAGTCTCAAAAACAAATAGGGGAAGCCTTTAGCAAACATGATTTTACTTTAAGCACATCACTACCTTTTATGACAAGGAGAGGCTTTCTCTCTTTCTGCTTTTGCTTGCCGAGAAGTCGTATTTAGTACAAGGGGGATTTGTTTCTTACTACCGGCGACCGAGCAAGAGCAATTTCTGCTTCTTAGCACTCGCATAAGGGCTTCTTTTAACTCCTTTTCCTCGGTCCGTGTGGAGGGTCATTGCATCCTCAAATGGCACTTCACTCAACTGGGGATCATACTTGATAAGCAACATCGTACGGTCGCGAACCATTCTCAATTGAATCTTTCCTCATCCCCATGTGAATGAGTGATTGCCTCACACGATTTTGGCATTTTTACCCACACTTTAATTGTTATGGCAACTTTCTTATATTTTACTTGTCAGGTAGTGTTTTCTCATTTATAAAGATACAGTTCACCCCATCATAAAACATTCAAAACAGAGAGACTCGTTGCAAAATCAAAAGCTCACAATTGATGCAAGTAAGCACGGTATCCAAACATGTCGAATGGTCAATGTTCTCCACCTAACTACTTCACCAAAAGTCATTACACTATCCTCACAAAAGAGAATGTTGCTAAAAGAGTTTGCTCATTCCAAGCATATCAAGTCAGTCAAAACATAAAGCTCATTGTGAAGAACCATGCAATTCAACACTAGTGGGGTGATTTTGATGATTTCATTCAAGCACAAACTCATTTTCAAGGCATCACGGTCATTTACATCATGTTACCACAAGAGTACAAGGTTTTGTTTTTAATTTTTTTGATTTTTAGGTGTTTTTTAGCCATTAGCTTTGCACAGGCAGCTTGCTTTTTACACAGGCAAACTGCATGCAGTTTGGCTGTGCTCAACCTAATGGAATTTTTTTTTATTTATACACATGACGAGACACTGTGGACAACTAAGACTCGACAAAAAACACGACAAGAACACAGACTATCCACCCCACACTCAGGATGGACATTGTCCACAATGTCTACAACTACACAAGACAAGCCAAGAGGTTCACCTAACTAACATTATTACAGACCATCATCATCACTATTCACAAAGAAAAGAAGAAAAGAAAAGAAAAGAAAAAGAAAAAAAACCTCGGGACAAGCTCCTATGAAGGAGGGGTCGATGAAGAAGTGCCGAGCTTCTCATCTAGACGCTGGTTTAGCTCCTTGATCTTCTTATCTTTCTCTGCGTCTCTGGCTCTGAGATCGTCTTCAGATGATGATGAAGCTGATACAACTGGTGGAGTAGCTACTGGCTGCGGAACTGAAGGTGCTTGTGACTGCTGGCCCTGGCTGACACTCGTGGCAGAGTGCCCTGCTGCTGCTGGTGATGGTGATGATGATGAAGCACCCAAAGGCATGGGTGTAGGAGCTGGAGTCGTGGTCGGAGTGACTACTGATGGTGCGGGAGATGATGCCGAAGCAGAAGTTGCTCTAGCAGCCCTTGCTGCCCTTTTCCGATTGACCTTAATCTCCCACTCCTTGTATTTGGCGATGGATAGATATTCACCACGAGATCATGCTTTCCTCAGAAAACCCAATTTGCCTAACGCTGATTCCCCAAGCAGAGTCAAGCCATCACTGATCTCCAAACCCGTAGGGTTCACTGGGAACCCCCAGTAAGCTCGAGCTAATGCAGTAATGATTCCCCCACACATAATTGCTCCGCAAGTTTTCAGTGCATCATTTTCAAGCATCTTACCCTCCATGTACCCAACACACAATGGTGTTCCAGTAACGAAACTGTGAATGTACCTGAGATCGGGTGTGTAGACACCACTGGCATTGGATCCCTTTCCCAAAACAGTGCGAGCCAGGTAGTCATGTACTAGTGGGATCACAGGGTCTCTGATTGATGCTCTCCTCGACGAAGTAGGATTGAAGTCCTTTCCATCTGCCACAATTGTCGTCCAAAACTCACTCAAGTTCTGCTTTTCATCTGGAATTTCATCTGCTGGACCATCGAAGAGAAGTGCTCGGTTTACTTGGCTCAAAGTGAGGGACTTGGTTTTCCCTGCCAAAGTACTCTGCAGCTTGCTCTCAACCCCATTATCCTCAAAGCTGTAGGTGGCCAAGA